ATTTTCTAAAAATAAATGAAACTCATAACTTTTTGAGGCAAAAAGAAAAGTTAAATGGTTCTTTGGGTAGAGACAGAGGGTTAAGTACAGTGAAGCAATAAAAATATTGCTGCCCAATGAACAGCATGCTCAGTCCATATAATTTAACTGTATGCTGGTACATGAGGCATAGTGAGAGGAAATTCTTGGCCTAAGCTACCTCAGGCCCTGGACCCTACTGACAGCCAGGGAGAGGGGAGAGGTGGCCTTCGCCCTTACCCTTGTTGGCTTTCACCTGGCCAGAGGAGGTGCCGAAAGTCAGGCCTGGATTGCTAATCCTTTCCTTGGGCCCCCCAGAACCACAGGGTAAGCTTCCTCTCATATTCATTATATTCATTTGTCAACAACCCTGAAAATTTTGGATAAAGACAGATGGGAGTAGGGAAAAGATGAGAAAGAGAGAGAGAGAGAAGGGACTGGACCTCATCCACCAACACACAACATAGCCCAGATCTACCAATTTGGTTTAAGAGATTTAGCTGAAGCTGCATTGTCCTCATTAATGCCATCAAGAAATTTCAGCCTTAGGCAGCCTTTATCTTCATGGCTTTTTCCTTAACTATAATATCCTGTTACTATTTTATTTTACATGCCAATTCTTCATGATTTCCTGAGCTGTCTCAGGAAAATGCTATGTTACAACACCACAGAAGACATTAAACTTAATAGAAAGTCATCTAACATTTTGACCCTTCATTTTCACCATGAAGCTTTCTTATCCAATCCCAAAAGAAGCAGTGGATAAGGTAACAATGTTTACTTTCGCCACTTCTTTGAAATTTGAAAATGATTTAAACTTATCCTCTGCTTATATTGGGGGAAAATTGTAAGTAAAGTTCTAAAGTAACTTCATTTGGCAGTGAATTTTCAAAATAAGCAATGATCGTAGAGCCATGATCAACTTCAGATAGATGTGTGTAAGTGCTTCCCAGAAGGTTGACTACCTCCGGCACTGCTGATTCAGGAGGGGACCGCCCATGAGTCTCCTTTGGCAATGAGCAGCCGCATGTAGTCAGAAGTACATAAAAGGAAAAAGTGAAAACACCCTCTGTTGTGCCAAAAGCTTGTCTCAGTATCTCCTCTGTGGGGCACCACCATGTTTTCTAGAGTCTGGACCCTACCTATTTTGCTATCTCAGTAATGAAAACGTCTTGCTATTGCCGCCTGTCCTCTAGACTTCACCATTTTGCATTCTAACCTATGACATCCAGTACTTCCTTACTCTATGAATTCAAACTCCTTCCCTTAGTCTGTCTAGAATCAAAGCAAACCAGGCCCCTCCTCCCAATTCATACTCTTCGTCCTGTTCGCCATACCTATTTCTGGCCCACTGCTGCTCCACTCCACTGGTTTTGATCAGGTTACTATTTCTGCTTCTGTAAGAAGATTTGGCATCAGTTAGCCTACTGTAAGGACTGGTGCTCCCCAAACAAAAGACATGGCATGCTTTAAGAGTCTATATATATATACACACACACACTCCGATATTAATGAAAATACGGTGTCACTGCTAGAATTTCTCCAAAGAGGAATTTGTGGTGAAAAGCCTTAGGGGGCAAGAAAGACAAAGACATGGGCTTTCACTACATTAGGCACATCTCCTTGACCGAAGGGAGGCTGCAACTCAGCCATGCAGCAGGCTTAGGGGTAGTGAATCCTCCACTCTCTGCTCAGCTCCATCTTCGTGACCACCAACGACCAGTGGAATTCCTTGAGAGGCTAACCCCCGTCACCAGCTGAGCTTGGCACAGAGCCCATTTTCTGCTCCACTTGCAAATACCTTCTTAAACCACCTTATATGAACAGTTCAGTTCTCAGGCTACTCTAGCACAGCTGTGGCCAGCTGTGAGCAGCCTCCAGCCCAGTCGTGGATTATGTATCAGATGATTCTTGTCCACTGAAAATACTAGAAACAACAAGGAATACATCAGACTGCTGAGAAACTGGATCCACCAAGAGAGACCAAAAGAAAGCTATGACATTTGAGGAACAGGCAAACACTTCCCCCTGCAAGTATTTGCTGAAACAGGTATATTATGAGGAAATTAATCCCTGGATTCCCAGACACGCATTTATTTTCTGGTTCCTTTGTTTTTAATTTTGTTTCTTTCTGGTGGGAGGAAGTTTCAGAGAAGGAGAAAGTCTCTCATACTTTACCCAGTACATTTTCTTTTCTTCTCTGTCAGATGGCAAAAACAACTTTGGATACTCTACCCGCATGTTGTCACAGTTCTGAATTTGGAAACCAATGTAACTGTGGCCAGACGGGACGAAGAACAGAGGCTCCATGCAGTATGATGAGTAACACCTTTTAAAACTCAGAACACTGACCAACATTTGAGAACGAACTTGGTCCAACCAAATATTTCCATATATAAGGGTAGGCAATTACAATTTGAATTGTTGTTATTAGACAGATGATTTAAACACCACACAGTAGCTGGATGTTTTTAACGTAAAGGCAACGTAAGAGCATTACCATGTGAGCGTGATTAACCTCTTCAGAACGCTTCTTGGCAGAGCTTTCCGACGGCCTTCACTGCGTTTCTGTCATTCTTTCCCTCCTGCTGCTCTGGGTCTTCCCACACTCAGTGAGTGGAACATTGGGATCATTTTTAAAGTGGGTGAGGGAAGAGACTGAGAAAAAGAACTACGTGAAGAACAGGATTACCGTCTAGTAGTAATAAGTATTTGACTTGAGAAGCGTCTAACAGTCAATCTCAGCTACCTGGACAGACACGTAACTGCGGTGCTATTTCGTTCACATACAAGATCTTTGCAAAGTACACTCGGCCTTCAACTATGAAAAGTGGCATGTGCCTCAGTTTGAGTCACTCTTCCCCAGTGTACTCACGTCTAATAAAGTTTTCCTTTTCAAAGAGCTAAGTGAATGCCTGCATCTTGTCTCTCTACTTGCTAATTATTTAAAGAGATGATTCAATGCCATGGTTGAAAATGTAAGAAGATTTTATTACCGAGGGTCCATATTCAGACCATGGCAAAACAGTTTACTTCATGATACTTCTTAAAATTCTTTTCCCACTGACAAATTTGGCCCTTTCACAGAGGCAGGATCAGTGAGCTTCTGGAAGGAGAAAGCCTCGGGTTTGCCAAGAGTCTCCCCTGCTAGGCTGATGACACCTATTAAAACTCCAGAAAGGAAAATCCTCCGGAGGTCAGGCAGCAGGAGTTGCCGTCCCAGGTCCCGACTGTTTCTCAATTTAAAATGAGTCAGGCAATGGCGCAACAGCATTCTGGGTGCCGGAAGGAGCCTCAATCGTTTTGCAACTTTAAAGGCATCCTTATGAAGGCAACGGGTCATGCAAAGGTGATGCTACTGTTTCTGTGAAATTTCAGTGGGACCCAGAGCAAACTACAAATCCACTCGGCACTCGTCTTTTTCTAATACCAGCCTCTGCCCACCGTGTGTCTCTGAGCATTAAGAGACGTGCATCTCAGAAACGAGTTGGGAAGAATAGGTTTCGCTGAAGCCATGCTCATTCTGGATTTAAAATTATCAACATGCAGCACTTGGGGCTGAGAACAGAGTGAGAGTCGTCTGTGGCAGAAATTGCTATAGTTGCCCCTCACTATTTTTTTGCTTCCTATGGTCATAGAACTCCTGAGCTAGTTAGGTGTTTGACCACCTGGAATAAATAAAGACTCTTTTTCCCACCCAGCCTCTTTTCGTTTGTCCAAATTCTGGCCGGAGGGGTATAAATAGAAGTGATACATGTATGAGCAACTTATGGTAAATATCTTAAAGGGAGAGAATAGAGGTATCTCCCTCCTTCTCCTTCTTCCTGCTACCTGAAAAGTAACATGATGGTCAGAGCTGAAGCAGCCTTCTTGGTGACCTTGAGAAGAGAGGTCACCGAGCTGGGGGTGGGAGGGGGGGACCAAATCCCTGAGGGCTTTGTGGAGCACAGCCTTGCTAATGGCCATGGACTTTTTCCTCCAGACATACAATGGAGACATAAACTATCTCATTTTGAGTTTTCCTGTTACTTTAAACCAACTCTTTTCCCAATATATCATGCAACACATTTTTACAGTGTCTTAGCTCAAAATGTTTCCAGATGCAGTTTGTTTTTGTTTTTTTAAATATCTCCATAGATTTAAAAAGGGAAAAAAAGGAAAGGAAAGGAAAGGAAAGGAAAGGAAAGGAAAGGAAAGGAAAGGAAAGGACAAAACGCTAAGGCTGCCATTATAAGAGTTTCCTGCATATTTATTTCCAAGCAGAAGAAAACTAGAGAGTTTTTTCCTCTCCCTTGTTTGACCATTTATTCTCATACCACATCCTATTTCACTTCTCTCACCCAGTGTATACCCTGGAGATAGGATGAATTCTTCAGCAGACAGTTCTAACATGTACAAAAAATGAAGTGTTTATAGAGCTTTAGAGATCTTTGAAAACACTTTTCTGAGAACAGCCATTTTAGTACTACAAGGCTTTTGATCAATTTGTGGGATCAAACTCTCAGCTTCTGAACTTAGTAGGAACTTATTGAATTAAAAAAAAAAACACATCTAAATTGTAGTCAGTATTCTCTAAATGTGTTCATTCATGTGAGAAGCTACTGCTGTGGAAAGTTATTTATAGTCAAATGAAGTTCCTTGTTTTTGTGCATCCTACACACACACACACACACACACACACATACACACATACACATACATATAAATGTGAGCTTTATGAGGTCAGGAATAGAGTGATTCACTCAATAACTAATTGCAAATCAGTGCAAAACAAGTTTTTTTTTGTTTTTTTAAAGATTTTATTTATTTATTTGACAGAGAGATAGCAAGAGCAGGAACACAAGCAGGGGGAGTGGGAGAGAGAGAGAAGCAGGCTTCCTGCCAAGCAGGGAGCCCGATGTGGGACTCGATCCCAGGACCCTGGGATCATGACCTGAGCCGAAGGCAGACGCTTAACGACTGAGCCACCCAGGCGCCCCGAAACAAGTTTTTTTAAATCAGTGCAAAGCTTCCTGGACTGTTATTTTTATTCACTTCCATATCTCTTCCATCTTCCTTCTATATCTGGATTGATGGCTGGAAGGAAAAGGAGAAAGACTCTGAAGACAAAAAGTATTGGGATAATTAAAGTAGAGAGGTCCACTCAATAAAACATGAGATCTACATCCTCCATTCAAAGGAACTCCACCAGATATGAAATAGTCTCTTCCCTGCTAGAATCACACACCTAATTTTATTATTCCACCAATAATTCTGCATTGATCTTGTCATAGACTTGCTGTAAACCTTCCCTATTTGGCAACTGGTTCACCATGGCACCATTTTTTAATGGTAGAACAGTTGAAAAGGGACTGGGTTTTGAAGTCAGGGAGGCATGGGGTTAATGCTCTTTCAACACTTAGCTAAAAAGTGAATTCCCCCTCTAATTCTCTCCCTCTTTTTTCTTCCTGATAAGCAGAGATGATAATGTTAAGTAACCCACAAATTATTGCAAGGATTAAATAAAATACTAGGACAGTGTGTGGCACATGGCAACACCCAACGTAGCAATGATGATGGTAGTTGTGGTTATGAGTTCTTATGTTTGCTGTCACAGGGCTTCTCTGGGATATGCCTGGCTGATGCCCCTGGGTGGATGAATAGGCACATAGCAGGTCAACTCTCGAGATCTCCCTCCTTCATCTGAAAACTAAAGACTTGGACCAAATAATTTCTAGGAACTGTCTAACTCTAATATGTGATTAGTCTGCTATTACAACTCTTTGTTAAAATAATTGGGAAAAATATTAAATACATATTTCTTTTTTCTTAATCTGAATTTAGGGGAATAGCATATTTGTATTGGGTATTTCTCACTGTGACTCACTTGTTGGATAACTTTTGTCAAGTCTAAATATATTAAACTTCATACTCCACATTTATCAAATAATTGGGAATCCTATGATTCACATAACCAACAGGGGTATTGAGAAAACCATTTAACAAATGCAGAAGGAACTCGTGCAAAAAAACATTGAGCTTATTGTTAAAATTATATTATTCTCTGAAATTATTTTATAAATTTAACATGTAATACAATTCTCTTGTGAAAATTATTTTTGACCTAAGGTTACTCACTATCTATGTCAAAGATTTTAATCCATGGTGCTGTATGAAGTAAGTGTGAGATAAGAGAAAATATGTATGTTCATCTCTGTCCCCCACTCATGGCACAGAGCTACTAAAAACCTTGTAACTTCCTAAGTGACAAGTGACAAGGAACACCTTTTGTTCTAATATTTGGTCTTTAACCCTGGTTCCCGACACAGGCTCCTGAACCCCAAGTAATTTTCTGGGTAATAAGAGTATCTCTTCCTGGATGAGGGGGGCTCACCAGAAACACCAAGCCATGATTAGAAGCTTGGAACTTTCAGCCCCACCCCCCATTCTCTTGAGAGAATAAGCCTCTATAAAATCCCAAAACTACAGAGCTCAGAGAGCTTCCAGGTTGGTGGACACATCCACACCAAGAAGGTGCCCCATCCCGACTCCACAGGGACAGAAGCTCCTGCACTTGGGACCCTTCCATACCCTGCCTTATACATCTCTTCATGTGACTATTCATCTGTCCCCGTTGTCATATCCTTTAATAAACTGGTAAAGGTAAGTAAGTTTTTCCCTAAATTCTGTAAGCTACTCTAGCAGATTAATCAAACTCAAGGAGGGGTCATTGGAATCTCTGATTTAGAGCTGGTTGGTCAGAAGCAAAGGTGATTAACACTAATCTCCAGGTAGATAGTGTTAGAGTTGTGTTAAATTGTAGGATACCCAGCTGATGTCACAGAAAATGGCTCACCGGTGTGGGGGAAAAACCTCTACACATGCGGTGACCAGAAAGCTCAGAAGTGAAGTTTTCTGTGTGAGTAATAAAGGAGACACATAGGGAAGAGAATCACAGTGGGAAAAAACTGGGTTGTTTTTCCATTTCAATAAGTATATAACCTGAGATTCTAAAGTATTTTTTCCTAGACGAAGCATAGAATATGCTAAAGACTTTTACATTAAAGTCATGAGATTATTGGAAGCATAGACAATGAACAGGAAACATTTTGCTTAAACTATGGCATATAGAAACTTAAGTGACTTTTCTATCATCTGCGTCAGAAAACAAATCACATTGCACATGGTTCCATAAGAGCAGGATACTTTATCCTTTGAAACATCTGGCGTCCAACTTGCCACACTAAAACCGCCTAAAATAGCATGGCTTGCTTCTTAACTATAAAAGTCGTGACTCAAACCCAAATCCCTGGGGTGCTTGTTGCCCCTGAAATACATGAAGACTGAATGCTCAGAGTAAGTGCAAAAAAAATTAGTTCTGAAACTTTTGGACAAATAAGGAGAATCACGCTGAACAGAGACTAAATTGGATTGGAACATATGTTTGGTCTATGCAGCCAAAGTACACAATCAAGTATAACAAAACAAAAGCTTGATACCAAACTTGCCAGTGAAACTTGTTTTGTCATTCTGAAATCTGCTCTACTTTAAACAAATCTTCCCAAATCAAAAACAAATATCTAATCACATACTATGTTATTGGTCTTGGTTCGCTGCACTGATTGTAAAGGTAAAGAATGAGTCTATTCTTTAGAGAAAAATCCTCATTAATTAAATTTAGTTTCTAGGTGATAATTAAATGTATCTGAGATAAGTACATATCTATACTATATCCTGTAAGACATATTTATCAAATTATAGAAATCAATCAATAAGACAATCTTTTTACATATGCAACACTGAGGCAGCCATACTGAAAGACAAAAATGCGAGGCTTCTGTCCTCATGACTTCTGCCTAATTAATTGAGCAGTTATCAATATTTCCAAAACCCAAGTCAAAAAGCTTAGTAAGAATGCAATAATTTAATATCATTGACTGTAAATTTCAGTTTCAAGTTCAATTGATTCAAATAACATCATTCTGAAATTAATTTATATACTCAGAAATACCCCCAAGCCTTATGATCACCACTCAAAATTTCTACCACATGTAGAACCGCTTTTTCTGTTCCTAGAACTACCTCTTCCGGGAAGTGGCTTCTATTTCCAATTTAAAGCTGGATCTTTATCTTCAGCCCATTTTTTCTAGCCCCCATCTTGGTCTAGCTCTTGCCCTTCCCACTTTACCAAAATCCCAGTCCATTCTTTGAGTCCTTCTTCCAATTTCCTTCAAAGGTCAGACCCTAGTATCAAGGCCACATTTATAACATCTTTAACATCATCTTTGTAATGGTACCAACATTACAAAGTTTATATCCAAATATATTTTATAAAATCTATACAAATTCACATATATTTCTTTTAAATACACATGTATAAACCTTTCAAAATGCTAGACTTTTAAGAAGTTACATCTTTTACATTTAGAAAAGAAGAAAAACAATGAGGTGTATAGTTTTCTTAGCTGGAAAACATTCTAAAGGAACTTTTAGGTGCTTCTTTCAAAAAATACCTTTTTAGTATTTGTCTACAAGACAGCACATGAAATACAAGATCTTCACTCTTTCGGCCCAACCTACCTCTCCAGACGTCCTTTTTCACCAATCCTACACCCTTTTCCCACTCTCCCAACCTAACCCCATAATCTACTTGAAGAATAACTATATATGTTTCAAAGTCAAGCTTAAGTATCACCTCTTCCCTGTAAGAGTCAACTGATTTCATGGGGCGCCTGGGTGGCTCAGTCGGTTAAGCGTCTGCCTTCGGCTCAAGTCATGATCCCAGGGTCCTGGGATCGAGCCCTGCATCAGGCTCCCTGCTCCGTGGGAAGCCTCCTTCTCCCTCTCCCACTCGCCCTGCTTGTGTTCCCTCTCTCGCTGTGTCTCTCTCTGTGTCAAATAAATAAATAAAATCTTTAAAAAAAAAAAGAATCAACTGATTTCCCCAAGTGGAGTAAGCCCCATTTTATGCCCTCACTGATACCTATTCAGACTTCTATCATGGCACCTATTATAGCAGGATACATATAGTACGGCAGTCTGGAACTCTTCCAGAATTGTTCTTCCCATCTCTATCCATGTAGCTATTCCAAGAGGAGCCAAATTCTTACATGACCCTCTCCCAATGGCCACATTTGGCTGATTTAGAATTGGACCCCTGGCCTAAGCCAGGATGATCAGAGAACATCTCAAGAATTCTTTAAACTGAAGCTTCAAGGGGCATCTGGGTGGCTCAGTTGGTTGAGCGACCGACTCTTGATCTCAGCTCAGGTCTTGATCCCGTGTTATATGAGTTCAAGCCCCTCATTGGTAACTGAAGGTTTGAACGTTAGTGAATCCCTCTCTTTTGTGGAAGTCATAGACTTGATAGCCAAGAGTTGCAAAAGTGAGTTCACGACCACGGAGAATAAATCTGACCTACAATGAGGGACAAGGAAGCTGTAACTCTAAAGAACCCACAGAGGTGAAGGAGAGAAAGTCAGTCCTAGGATAAATTACTGCTGCCAGCCCTCCCCAAGGCTTGGCCGCATCCCTGTCTTTTCATGCTTTGTTTGTTGTTAACTTCACTGGATTCTGTAAGCTAATAAATTTCCCATTTTTCTTAAAATAGTTTGAGTCTCTGTCACATGCAACCCAAAGAGTTTTAGCTATATATTTGCCCTTTTTGTTTCCATACGCCTGTTTCCCTTCAAGAGATTGCAAGCTTCTGGAATGCATGGGACATATGTTATTCATCCCCAGTGCTAAGCATGACTCAGGGTACAGAGTAGCCACCAAATGAATAAATAAATGAGAGAATGAATGATTTAAGTGAGTATTCCATGAATTAATGAATCTAGACTAATAGCTAATTACTCTATTCAAAAGCAACCTAGATTTTTGCTCTGGCCATAACTGGTGCACTGTCACTGTTTTAGGTCCTAAGGTAACAAATTTAGGCACATAATCAATCTAAAAAGGAAGATGGAATAGAAAACATATACAAAGATAAACACATAAACATAATTAGCCGTGGAAATAGCTACTTATCTTGTTTATTACTGTTTAAATAACAATTTATAGTAGGTAAAAGAAAAAGTCAACATCCTTTCTAAGCT